ATATATATATATATATATATCGATAAATAAATATATATATACATATATATATATATATATATATATATAAACTTTTTATTAAAATGATTAATTCTACGTATTTTGATATCATACACATACGGCAATAACAATACATATATTACATTATTCTTCACAGTTGCTAGACCCAATTTGGTAATTCTGAAATTTAATCGGTCGACTAATTGTAATTGATGAGATCGACCGTAATCATACTGCGATTGCACGAGTGTGACTGATGATTAATGATTATTTTTTAACCAGATAGAACAAAGCAATCGGTGATTTTCTTGAAGTCATTTGATTGTTGTTTGACATGTTTGATTGTTTGACAGGTTTGATTGAAAAATAATCGCCAATCACTAATCACAATCAGGCAAATTAATGTATTATAATTACGGCTTTATTAGATCGATGCAAAAAGGATGTGTAAACACGCAATGTTATAACTTTGATGTAAATTGGGTCGCGTAAATATAGATTTAAAAAACCATTTAGCTTATTGATTTATTTACTTTCTTTTATTTTTTTAGCCTAGTTAAAATAAAGATAAGTCTAAATGTGTAAACGCGACTCACTTAAGTAGCTGGCTTAAGTAGATGGCTTGTTAAATTAACAAAATCCTTTCTTATAATGTGTATAATCATGTAAAATCATATATAGTTATATGATTATATATAGTTATATATAATTGCATATAAAAATTTTTACTCCAGTATTATGAAATTTTAAGTTATTTTATGAACAAAATTTAAATTAATTATTATAAATGCTAGGTAAAATGTAATACACAATGATCAAATAATTTATTCAGTGGCTTAATTATTAAATATTTTATAGGGTTTTGTATTTATATTTTGTATTCCAAAAGAACGCATACTCTGAAAAAAATGTAGTATGTTCTACTTACTGTCCGGTTTGCTACATGAACTGGACGACACGAGTAATACAAATATTATTATAAATAGTTGCAACCACGATGTTGTGATGTCCATCTTGATAAACTTTAACATGTCGACTGACTGATCAAACAGGGAATACAGAAAGAGTCGTAATACAAGAAGACTTGGAAAGAATGAGTGTATGTGTACGTTATCACGCCTACTCTTACTTTGGCTTTCTTATCTAATAAGGCTTTTGACGTGAATGGAAATACAAAAGATTGTGCTCTAGTACAGCATTTCTTAACAGCCAATAAAAAAGTTACTCTCAACGCTGTCCATATTGTAGCGGTTAATTCGAATGTTCTATTAACAACTATAAAATCGTACTATGTCTACGATTAAATATTTTATCATGCGTCTACAGAAGAACTATTAATTTATAAATATTAATTTGTAAAAATAATTATTATTTTTACTTATTGTCAGCACAGTTACTATTATGTTGTAGAAATATTTATAACAAGTTAACAATACTTTCTATACGTTTAAAAAATATATGTAAGGGTAGTTTATTGTTAATATTATATATAATTGAAAAGAATTGAGCCATCTACATAAAGAACTATTTAATAAATCCACATAAAATATTTAATAAAGTAAGGTATTAGGAAAGTTTCTTGCACAATATGTATATGTGAAATTTTTAAGGATATCGTATAAAAAATACACAATTAGGACTCTTCAAATCTAAAAAAAAGACTAAAGGAAAATATAATGAGATTGAGTCATACACGGTAATTGGAGTGCAAATTAATTGTTTATTTTTTTTGTGTTCTTAAATTATTCATAAATCAACATCAGACATTTCGGCTTTATCTCGTTTGAAGCTTGAGAAAGAACTCTTATTATTATATTAAACTTTGCTCAATGAAGATGCCTGGGAACGAAACGTTTGACATTAAAAGAAATAATTTAAAAAGTACACAATAAACAATTAATTTGCGCTCCAATTACCGTGCTTAATTCTCACTTGCTTGTTATATTTTCCTTTAATACCGTATAAATAATCGAAAAAGATTAAGTTGATAACAGTTTTTAGATAGTATAGGATATTGAAAGTAGATCAAAATGCATCATATTAAAAAAAATTGATTTTTATGTGCAAATAATTTTTGATTGTTTTTATACTAACTTTTTCTGAAGGATTAATCTTTTTTGTAATTGCCTCGTATGGCGTAAATTTTAATTTGGAACGTTTTATTCTATTTCCTGATGTCAATGGATATATTATATTATATTATGTGCAACTCTTCGACTTTACCGATTTTTAACTAGTTAGGATTAGGTAATTCAAGTATTCTGTAATTATTATTCTTCCAATTCTTTATTTTCTCTTTTAATGTCTCGTAAGTTGTAGAATACTTTATCCGTCGCATGAGAAAATTACAACTACGCCGCCAGTGTGATTATTGAAGATCAACTCTAAAATCATAATTTATGAAATTATTATTGAAAATTTTATCTTAGAGAGAGAGAGAGAGAGAATCTTATTTATTATATTATTCATACCTTCAATAGTGTCATTGTAAACTATTTAATGTTACTTTGACTTGCAATTCTTCGATCTATATACTAAGCTAAAAAATGTTCTGCAGTGAACATATGTCACATCCAGAAGATTTGATCTAAAAATCTGAATTTTTTCTAAATTTAATTTAATTATTTTGCATCTGTTAGAGATAATTTTATTAATAATAACATACTTATATAAGTATCTTTAATGTATAGAACAACTTTAAGAGATCCTAAAGCTTTTTAGTAGAAATATGCGAGTTATATTAAGGAACTAATTATATCTCGATTAAGGAAAAATATATATTTAATTTAATAAATACATACCAATTACAATAATATATTTGTCGATTTATATATACATATATTTATTTGTTATCATCCATGACAATAAAAATCAATATGTATGCATATATGTGTGTTTATTAAATACTGTCTTTCGTTTTTGAATAATTTCAATAAACCAAAAATCCAATATAATGAGTTTCTACATACCAAGTTGAATTTAACTGATTATTTTGTAGTCAAAACTTTAAAGAAAGGAAACTTCAATTTTGTCAATTCGCTATTGATTTTGCTTATTCACTTCTTATTTTATTACAATGGTGAATTAACACACAATATCAGAGATCACAAATTATATATAAATGTATACTTTCTGTTACAAACTTTAACATTAATCTGATCCAGTGGCGATCCTGTTTTCTTCTCAATTAATATAGCAATTGTGGCAAACTAAAGACGAGGTTTATCAATCATACGTCTTTATATTATATTGTCATACGCTTTTTCTAATATTTGTACATTCCTATAGCTATAAAATCCCCACTATATTACAAATTAAATTTTGCATGACTAAATATTTCTGAAGATTTGTAGGTACAAACTTATTTGAAATGTAAATATCGAGATTTTATAAAAATGTCTTAATGTACGGATGAATTTTCAAATGTGTTTTATGAAATTTTATTTGCGTGGGTCTAAGAAAATTGCCATTTATGTATAATGGTAAGATGCAGAAGTTTTTGGCCTGATTAAATTGGAACACGAATTTCAGGTCCTAGAGGAGTCATCCCCTTTCTATGTTTTGGTTATACTATAGCCAAAATTTGATACCTGCATCTTCATTATACGCTAAAGCTGAAAGAACGTACTGTTTCATTATATTCTAAAATGCTCGACATTGTACTGTTGCATATTTCTGTTCCTACAATAAAGTTTTAATTGGAAGTTTTCAACTTATCTTACAGTCCTGATTTAGTTTCTACAGTTTTATTTTTATTTTTAAAGTTAAAGTCCAATTTGGAAAGAAATTCATCAATGATAAAGAAGTGACCATTGCAGTATTATGTTATTTTAAGACATTTAGAATGTATTTTTAATTGTGCGGAAAAATTAACTCATAAAGGATAATTATTTAAAATACAAAAAATGTTTTTTTTATTTTATGTAATCTTTTTTATAATCTGTACTGGAAACTTTTGGACTTGACACAGCATTTAACAATTTATACATAATTTATAGCATATTATTACTATATTATTTTCTCTAAATAGCATAACATAATTATTTAAAACAATTCAACAATAAAGAATAAAAGTAATGATCCTAACGGTCAAAGCTAGATCTTTTAATTCTTAAACAATTCAATCTGAATTACTATATACTATATACGCAATCTGTCCTAAAAGTATCCGACCTCTGCGTATATCTCCTTGAGCTTATATCTTATTGTGGAAAACAGGTATTCAGTATTTAGAGTGAACCTTTAGGAGTACTTTCACCAAGCGGCACGACCTAACAGCTGTTCAGTCAGCAACGGTACGCAGTTGTGTGAGCGTCGAAAACTCCGAGCGTCGCATTTCACAACTGAACGGTAACGCACCTGTTCATTCATTTCACCTGATTCAGAAGTTTTTGACTAAACACGGCATTGTCTAACTTCGTCACCCTTTATATAGTCCAGGTATAGCCTCATGTTACTTTTGATTATTTCTTAAGTTTAAATATCCATTGAAGGGCAAAAGATACTGAGGAAATAAAGCGAAATGCGACGAAGGATAGTTAGACGATAGTTGATTATCACAAAAAGCGACTTCCAGGACTGCTTTTGCTAGTAGGTGCACTATTGGCAGAAGGTCATTGTTTCGGAAGGAAACTACTTTGAAGGCGACATTGTGTGTTCATATCCGGAATAGCTCTTTCTCATGATACAGGCAAAGATCGGATACTTTTGGGACAGACCTCGCATGTACATGCATGTATATCATATTTGTAGTCATTCGCACTGAGCGCCAAATTGGTTTTTCGAACTTATAAACGCAATTAAACTACTGTAGCGATATAATCAGAATTAAATTGACAAGTTATTTTTTATAATTTGATGCTCAGGCATTCTGTTAAAAAGATGTTAATATGCTGTAAAACTATAAATAAATTTATTGCGAAAAGTATTACTTCGGCCAGAGTCGAACCGGAGTCTCTTGTTTTCCATACGAGCGTTCTAGACTACTAAGCCTTTAGACTACCGAGGCTTTAGTAATATTCTTCGTAATAATCAATATATATATATATA